ATAGAAAGAAGTTATTGCTAAATCTAGTCAAGTGCTCTGCAGTGAATCTTAAGCTTTTCAGTTCCAGAGAAAATGGCTTCCCCTCCTCTTGTTTTTACATAACCCTGTTATCATTCAAAAGTAGGTTGAAGGATCCTGTCTCTTTTCTTCCTCCTTGTTCCAGTTGTCATTGTCACTAGCTGATGTAAAAAAATACCCTTAAATTAACCTTCTTCAAAAGAAATTTGTGAAAGTCCGTCATTTGGACATACTGAAATCTCTGCTTGGACAGTCGGCCTCCTCCAAGATACGCTTTTCAGCATATGAAGTGATGAATTCTAGCAGGATCTGCAGTCATTTATATTACTTTGTGCCCAACAGCACAGGGATCTCTAGTGTTGCTGAAGTCTGGATTTTGAGTTTTTTGTCTTCCTTTATAATGACTAGATTTGTGTCATTCCTTCATTCAAAATCCAATTAGAACAGATCTGTCCTTCTCCTAAGGAGTGTTATATCCCATTGGTGTAGCTTGTATCCTCTGGTGTGGTGTATGGGAACCACTATAGCATGCCATGTGTCCTCCAGCAAAGATTGACATAATCTGCAGGAGCTGGTCATGCTTTTCAGCTGACAACAGTGTAGAAATCTCCATGGAAGTACAACAGAATGTATATTAGCCTTTACAATTTGAATAAAATCCATCACAGTTATGAGCTGCTCTTGGGTTGTTGTATTATCCCCTTTAGTGTCTTACTCCCATTTCTGTTACTTTCTTCCAGCAGAACACATGTTGCTCATTAGTAGCATGGATGATATGGGAAACAAGAATGTTGAAAATTGCATTGAATAGGTTCCAGATGTTTGTATCAAACAAGGTTGGGTCTGCACGAAGATTTCCTTTGAAAGACTTATTAATTGGAAGTGGAAAATAATTCAATACTAAATGATTCTCTAGAACTCAAAATTTGCTAAACAGTTGCCATCATTAAACACTTGCCATCATAAAACACATATGTAATAAGTGGTTCTTATAATACTGCCTAACCTGCTTTCCATCTTCAAAAGGCTTTTGAGGCATTAGGCAACAGAAGTTTGACTGTGGGAAGCGGCAGGATTTGCTAACAAGGTTAACTGGATGCATGCTCCAAAGTTAAACAAAAGCCCAGTGATGGCTGTGCGTGCACACTTGTGTTCTTACAGGGAAGAAGCTAAAGGCTTGTAGGAACACAAGGGTGCATAAACTGGGAGATACTTTTGACTCGTTAAGTGCCACTTCGATGGGGATGAATGCAGAAGAGTATCTGTATGTGTTTGGAGCTGATGAGGCAGTCTTGGATTGTTCATTGGATGAATTGGCCCTTCAGCAGTGACAATGGTGAATTTTGTTGCTGATGAAGGTGAGGTCAGCAGGAATGGGCCATGGGGCTGGAGCAGGAAGCTGGCAGAGCCCAGTCCTGGTGTTTGTAAAGGGACGAGCAGCTCAACAGTAAAATCCAGGCAGGATGAGGCTGCGGCTTCACATTGGCTCTCAAATAGAAGCAGGCGGTGCAGAAATGATAAATAATCAGATTTGTAGTGTCATAAAAAGGGATTGCTGTTTGGTTTTTTTCACTGTGGTAAATATGCATTTTTAGGATTTAAACTGCCTCGGGGGAGTAACTAGCTTTCCAATGGTGGCAGGAAGGAATGTGCATGAGCAGGAGGGGTCTGTGAGGGAGCCAAGAGCCAGAGCAGCTACCTTGAAAAGATGAGAGCTCTTGCTGCCCTCACTAGAGTGAGGGTGCTCGTAGTGGCACCTACCCGTCTTTGACTGGGACAGATCTGCAAATGCAGTAGGAAGTGCTGGAAATAAAATTACTTAATGTTTAATGAATAACTCAGGCAGCACTGGGGTGTGTGCAGTGTAAAAATAGGCGATTTTATGCATAAAGAAATAGATAAATGGAGAGAAGGTGGCTTGTGCCATAGACAGGCTGACCATCAGTGGACTTTGTGAGCTAGAGACAAGTTTTGCTTTCACTTGGAACTACCTCCAGGAGTGCAAGCGTATGCTGGGCATGGCACTACACCCCATATAGTGATTGGGCAAATGTGTGTATTTCAGTGCATTAAGATTGCTGTTTGGTACTGCCAGCAGCACGTTTAAGAGAAATAATGTTTATGAGAGTCTTGAGCTCCTAGGAATTGTATTATGGCTCTAGGACATAGCTACACAAGCACCTACATGAAACTTGGCAAAAATGCCTCATCTGGAGTAGCCCCTCTGTTACTTACCCCACCATCATTTCTTTTATGTAGGCAGCCTTGCCTACATATGTGGTCTGAATGCAGTGGAACAAGCCTTCAGTAGGTACTCTGATCTTCTGTTCTGATTTTGAGGACCAGCTGCTTATGAGGCTGTCCTGAAAGCAACTCTATCAAATGCAGGAACTCTGCAAAAACACTGGTTTCTTCTATAGAGCAGCTTAGAGCAGCTCTGTGCCCTGTTTGTTCAAAACAGAGCTGACAGAAGTGGCATGCCAGTGGGGTGATGGGGTTTCTGCAGGAGATCTGGCCCACTTCCAGCCGCTATGGAGTGCAGGCAGAGCGGGCATGCTTTGCTCTGCTCTTTGCTGTGTAGATAAGCTCAGCTGCACACAGTTATCCAGGATGTGAACTTCTGCTCCCTCTGGGAGTATTTCAGTCTTTCATGTCAAGCAGAACAGAGGGCCTTGCAAGAAGGGCTTGCTTAAGCACACTTGAGGTGCCAGCAAGGGAGTCGGTTACAGACAGCCTGAACGTACCAGTCACTGTTGTCTTCATGTGGATGAGTCCTCATAGGAATTGAGGGGAAAATCCAGATGTCTTCTAATGTGGCCCATTTGTACAGGATAAAGATCAGATGAAGGCTGGAGGGGAGGATTGGTAGATGTACTGCATGGAAATAGGTGCTCGCAATGGAATCCCCTCTGCAGAGAGGGAGTTAGTAGCTGTTCTCCTGAACCTTTCCTAAGTTGTTTTTGTCAACAACTCCATTTCTGTCGAGTTCTGAGTCTTGCACCTTGTTCTTCATGTGTGCTTTATGATAGAAGCATCTTAACTCCATTCTGGTCTGCAAGAAGGAATTCAAGGAACAAACACTCCTTGGTTCTCAATTTATTCCGCAGCCCAAGAAATGCTTGTGGAGTTCAGAAATACTTTTTGTGCAGCTTGTGTAACCTGGTCTGCTGCAGGACTTGCACACCAATGGTTAGGCTAATTGATTAGTATGTTCTCTGATCTACGCTTTTACATCAGGAAAACAAGGCCTCTCTGCTGGTTGTGTTACTGTTACAAATTCTAAATACTACTTCAACCATTACAAAGGGCAACTTTTTCATAGTTTGTGTTTTTAGTGGTTTGGTTTTGGTTTGGTTTTGAACTGAGTATCATTGCTTGGACTAGTCACACTTTGTATACACATTCTTGAGAAGGAATTAAACCCAAATGAACCTTAAATCCTCCAGGCTGGTGGTCAGTGCTACTACCAAGGTCCTTCTGTACCGAGTAGAAAGTTTATCCTGTTTCCCAAGCACAGGCATGCGTAATTCATGTCTTGAGCATTGTCTTTGACAAATATTCCTGTTCTGGGGGAGCTGGTGGGATACGTACTATGCACTGGTGGGTTTCAGGAATGGCCCCTTTGGCAGGACAAGGCACGCATGGCCCAAGCCACTGCGGAAATCTCCCTGTGCTCAGGGGCTTTGCTTTTTCCAGATGAAGTCTGGTTTAAGACGGACTCTGCCTTCTAAACAGCCAGCTGCTAGCTGTGTCGTGAGTGAACTGCCTTTATAATCAGTGCTAATATAATTAAACATATGTGTGCACATAAGTCAAAGGACCTCTGGGGCTGCAATAGCTGGATGTAGACTTCACAAAAGCAGATGGAGCTCTGCCATTTGATCAGCTGAGGATTTGCTTTCATTTTGAACTGGATTTGAAAGAAGCATTTTACTTCTATTGCAGATGCACGCTCTCCAAGGGGGGGGGGGAAGTCATGCTTCTAGCTTATATTTCTCTTTTATGCCTTGCAGCCTCTGAACTGACTGGTTGATGCGTGTCTCATCTGAGTGATTTTGGTGCAAATCAGGGGTTAAGTCAGTTGTGCTCCCCTGTGACCTTCTGAATCAAAAACATACAGTATCTGTTACTGTCAGGGGTGGGTTTGAGTCCTTTTGGAAAAGCAGGGCTGCTTTTCATAAATATTTGTCTTGCTTTAGTTTCCTGAGATATAGTTTAAATGTAAACTGCTCCCTATGTTTTAGCTTTTGTGCTATCTTGCTGTATCACATCGTGCTGTCTCACGTACTGTATAACTGTATGGCACTACATCATGCTGTGGTGATTATTTGAAAGGGCGTACACTCTGTTTTGGACTAGATATCTGTTATCAGTATAGATAATTGCTGTCAGACACAAAATAGACTCAGTAAACAAACATTTCATTTTTATCATGTGACAGATGCCTGCTGTTTTGTACAATCTATTTGAACAACATTCACTATAAATCAGCACTGCTTCAAAAGCAACAAATCCAACTCTCCCAAATCCTTCCTGATGTAATTATCTGTGTACTAGAGATTAACTTTTCATTGTTATATGTACATGATTGCATTTTTCAATGCTTGGAAATAACAATGTTTGACATAAACAAATAATTCACATCTAAGATGACCCAATTCCTCCTACCACTATAACCACTTTGGGGGTTTTTTTGGTTGGTTTTTGGTTTTTTTTTTCCTCTTTAATCCTTGATTTTTCTCCCTGGTAAAGACAGGACTACCTTCAATTTGGAATTCATACTTAAACTTTCAGAGAGAAATGAACCAACGAGTTAGTGTATTCAGTGAAAATAAATGTCTTCATTTTGTGGGCAACGAACTCAAAGTCTCTGCTTTTGTTCCTATGGGCTTCATGACCAAAAGAATGATGCTTATTTGACAGGTGTAATCTGTGTATAGCTCTTTTCTCCAAATGACGTGCCTCTGTGTCTTCCTCTGCAGGTCCTGTGCCTAGGAGCGAATGTGTCTTGTCGCCTGTTAACAATTCACACCCAGTCCATGCCTTGCTGGAGAGTTTCACGGTGTTGTCTGGCTGTGCAAGCCGAGGCACAACAGCCTTGCCACAAGAGGTGCACGTCCTCAATCTCAGAAATCCTGAGGAGGGCCTTGGCCATCATGAAAGAGAGGTAAAGGGGAAATTGCTTTTTGTCCTGATCCCTGGCTGCAAGTGTGTCTGCAAATGGGATTGTTCTACATTAATTTGCTGAATGAAGCTATTTCTGATCTGTGACCAGAAGGAAGCATGCACAGTGTGTGTGGATACTTTCCACCTATGCTTTGTGCGTCATGAGTAAACCACTTCTATACCCAGCCACTCTCTCCATCACCTTTCACAACCACGAAGTACACTTTAAAAAGGTGGCAGGGTGGGCAAAGGAAATAAGAAACAGATTTAGATCTACAAGAGGCCTTTGCAGAATTGGCTGCCTTCAAAAGCAGATCGTTTACCTAAATGTGTTGTAAATCAGCATGAATACCTTTGGATCCCTGCCAAGGCCACTATAAACAAATATTTAAGTTCAGATGCTTTTACCTCTGTAATACATCCTTAATGTTTCCCTGTGGGGGGACTGCCATACAGAAAGCAAGTGTTGCTGACTATGGAAGTACGTAAGTACAATCCAATTACTTATTTATGTACGTTGCACTCAGAGGGACGGGCAAGAACATCAGCTGCTCTGAAAGCAACAGCACAAGCAGAAAAGTTTTGATGTTAAGTGTGCAGTACTGTTGTTTACTCTCAAAACACATCAAAACAGAGTGCCGAAAAAACACTTTGTGGCATGACAGCTGAGCTTCTTAGTTCATGTTCTCATAGTATTACACACACAAATCCTTAATACTGTGTCCTGTGAGAGCAATGAGCATGTACGCAATTAGCAGAATTTGTAATGAGAGAACAAAGATGATGATCTTGCAGGCAAAAGCTTAGAAAAAGAGGGTCTATTATCTGTGCTGAAAGAACTTTTAAGTGGAGTCTTTTATATAAAGTGATTTAAATAAAGGCAGATACTCTTGGACATAATCAAAGTCTTTCCACTGGCTTCAATAGCAGCTTTGTTGAGTTTGTGGTGTGTTCAGCTCAATGTGTCTTGGATGCATCCATGAAACTTGAACTGTTGTGTTCACTTTCAGTGTATACACTGTCTGAAATGTCTGGTGTATGATGAAAAAGTTGTTTACTATTTTTTCAGTAGGCATTTCATGGGCTGCCCTCAATCAAAAATGTCAGGTCTTTCTCAGTTCATCTGTCACTAAATGAACAGAAAAGTACTTTGGGTTTTTTGTGGGGCTCCGAATGAGGAACAGAGATTTTTATATTTGTGTTGTTTGGGGGGGTTTGGTTTGGTTTGGTTTTAAAAGCCTTTCTTAGTTTGCCAGGCACTGGATTGTCGTGTGATGAGTACACTGTGAATGCCTGACAAAGTATAGGTACAATCAGTTCTTTGGGCATGAAAGCTAAAGCTGTATGTGATTCTGCTATGTATTTGTCATTGCCTCTTCCATCACTCAGAGACCTTTAAGTCCGTTAACGAGTCATAGACAAATTTAATATAGGAGGTGGTAGATCTCACAAGGTGATCACAAATTTTGTTGAAAACAGGCAGAAGAGTGCTCTCACTGTGAGAACATGGGATAGTGGGAACTGGTAACTTCTTAGTTACTAAAGGGTGCCTGAGGACGGGATGGAGCAGGCTACAGCTGGGGCTTGTGCCTCCCAAGAGACCAGAATGAGTCAGCTCAAAGAGCCCATTTGCATAATCCTAATTTTCGCTCTGGTTTGATGCTGTTGGCACTGCTTGTGTAACAGTGTGCACACAACGTGAGCAAGTCACATGTGCACAAGGCTGCAGGCTATGCCACTGCTGTCTGATCCTTGACAGAAAGACATGAGATTTAAATATTTGGCTTGCAATAAAAATAATTGCTGTCTAGCAGAAAGAGGCTGCTTGTGCCTCCTTTAGCACGCTTATGGTAAGAAAGCAGCTTGTCCCAAGCTGTCCTTTCCATGCGCTTCTTTGGTATACCAAAGCGTAGAGCACAGAACATGCTTAAGGATTTGTAGCCCCTTAAGCTCCTTCCCTCATCTCCCAGCCAGTTTCCAGTCACAGCCCCTCCTTGGAGATAGATGGCTGCTCTAAAAATGCACAGGAAGCTGGAGCAAGGCTTGCTGGCAACAGTGTCAAGCAAAAGAGCGTAAACAACTTGGAAAAATCAGATTTTACTTATAGGATCAGGGCCGGGAAACAAAGCAGACCAAATGTTATCTTTTCCGTTATTGTAGAAACCAGCTCCAAGTGGCCTTTTGTCTTAAAGTAGAATGTACCCATCACCTCAGTTACATTAGCTTGATTTACCAACTGAGGTATTTCCTGTTGCCTGCAAATGCTGATAGCAAAGGTAGAGATCTCTGTCATCCAGTATTTCCAGGATACTCCAGAATAAAACCAGTCTTTTTGTTTGACAGTGCCTTAGTTAGGTTTAGCAGCATCAAAAGCATGTTTAAAATAAATCATGCACTTGTTCAGAGGTTGGTTGAAGTTCTGATAATGTGGAATGCAAAATCTGAGAATCTTTAAGTGAAGGCTTTCTCTGGGGGAGGAGGTCAGTTTTTGTTTTGTTTTTAACCTGCCCTGTGCTAGATGCTGCTAAATTACACATTCCTTACTTGCTGGGAGGAGTGTAAACTTCCCCTAGCAAATTCCTTGGAGGGCTTATGCATTAAACGTACTTGTGCAGTTATCCTGGTTCTCATAAAAACATGTATGCATTAGTTTAACTCATTTTGACACTTGTGTAGAATATACAGACAAGTGCTGGCAAATTTAAGCATAGGAGGGGTGGCTGATGCAGAGGGGAGGGCATGGCAGGGGCATATTCCTCCTGTGATACATGCAGGGTTTCTGTAAAGATTGGTGAAGTTTGGGTGCTTTTTCTTACCTGTAAATGTGAATAAATAATAAAGGTGAACTGGAAATTTATGGGTTTATGAGTTCTGAAACTTTGCAAAACTAAATCAGTACTATATTGCTTTCATGTTAAGGCTGAAATCTGATCCTATCTGTGATCAAATGCTGTGACCGTATCTCTGATCTTCAAGGGATTTGTATTTTACTTCATTAATCCCTGTTGGGATGAAATCTCATTTGCAGAGACTGTGAAGGCACTTTCTTCAAGTAAGAACCCCAAAGTTCCAATCTTTTTCCAGTATTTCTTAGAAATGTCTTTTATCACAATTCATATTGACCATGCTTTATCATAGGAAATAGAATACGGGTGCATGTAATAGCCACAAGTGTTTATGTTGAACTTGGCATGAGGAATGCAAGCCTTTTCTGTTTGTTTTATTTGATCAAGTATTCCTGGGGAAGTGAGTGCATGTGTGCATTTCTGTACTCTGATCCGGGTCTCAGCTAAAAGTCAGCAACTACTGGACTCTACCCAAAGCTGAAGAGAAAGTTCCTGTATCTTCACTGTTTCAGTTTCCTTGGTTTTAGAATGGAGGTAGTTGCTTTCTCATGGAGCTGCGTGTTCCGTTATAAAAAAAGGTTATTGTTTGTGGAGGCACTTGGAAACTAGAGATTGCACCAGAAAAAATGCATCTAGAAAATAAAACTTATTTGAAGATGAAGTTATCAAGTCCTAAGTTAATGGAGGATTCTTGAATTTTACCAGTCAGTTGGATTTCCCTGAGCTGCTTCAGGCATGGAGCCACAATTGAAATAGCTAAAGGCGGAGTAGTGGCATATAAAATTAATCTCATGTGAATATTTAGGATTGAATACATATGAATACATGGAGACAGAGTTCCTGGAAATGGATTCACTATTGTTTTCATTGATATCCTCATCCTCAATAGCTTTTATGCCTGATACAGATGTTTAACACGTGTTACGTGAAATGAAGGCAGGAAAATCAAGGACTCATCTTTATTTCTATAATTTTGAGTAATGCCACTGAGGCTGCAGTAATTTGATAGATTTCCCCCATGGTTTAATCACTGTTACTTGGCAACAGTTTCAGAATAAAAAAATATTTTCCTTTGAGAGCAAACCTGCTATTAAAATGCCTGTTAGTTCCTGTGGAGCTGGCTAATGATAATAGCCAGGTACTTACTAGTAATGTATCTCAGATTCCTGAGCCTGACCCACTTCGAAGTCATAAAATGATGGGCAAACTTATGTAAGTCCAGTGTTTAACTACTTTTTGAAGAGATCCTCTACATTGTAAAAATGTGATGGGAAAAGACTCTGGAACAGTCACCTGATAATGTATTTCTACATCCTGGCCTTTGCAATGCATCCTGAATTCAAGATAATTCCTTTGTGTCACAGTGGTTATGTATTTTAGGACTATGAAGACATGGACAAGGAGGGTGATGACAACCTGGTTCATTTTGCCTATATTTTCACATATTTACTCTAGCTCCCAGTGTGTTCATTTAACTGTTCTCAGAAATTTAACACAAGAGCTTTACCCAAGGCTATGTCAGGGAAAAATGTTTTGTTTCATGCTCAGGCATCCAGAGATCTGGGGACAGCCTTGAGATTCAGCTGTGATAAAGGGGCCACTTATTGAGTGTGGTTTAAGCATGCTGACCTGCTGCACCAGGGCCATGGTTGGGGGGCCCTGGAGGTCATGTGTCTTCAGCAGGCAGGAAGGGGATCCAAGGTTTGTTATTTGACAGCTGGAGTTAGTGACGGGTTTGTTACCTAGTCACTGGTTTGATTCCATTTTGTTTATTTCTTCCTCTAAGAGTGCATTTGTTAAAGTAAGTTTCCATTTAGCATCCGTCAATGTCTGCTCTAGGCTGTTTCCTGAGACTTTAGGATCTCACACAGTAAAAATAAGTTCAGCTTCTTTTTCTCCTATGGCTTTTCAGTGCTAAGCTCTCCATGTCAGCTTGACCAGCTGCTCTAAAACTGACAAGACAGGCTGGTTTGATTTGTACTTTTGAAGCACCCTGCAGCTTGGTCTTAATAATCCAAATTAAAGTAATTGGATCATTATCCAATGCAATCCTAAACTTATAGCAAAATAAGAAGCTCAGGAACAAAGAGTTTGTTACTCCTGTGAGATCAAAACTTTGAGAAAGACCACAGACTTTACTGATGTTAATATTTGA